GCTCCGATTCAGGTCAAGAACTTGAAAACCACCAAGAACAATTTTTTTCCCCACATCTCTGTGTGGGGTTCTAGTTTTGTTGGCTGGCATCCCGCCCGCATCCGCCGGTCCTTCCGTCCTCCTCGCCCCCTCCTCCGTCGCTCACTCACTCTCACTCACTCACTCACTCACTCATTCTTCACATCACTCACTCACTCACTGACACAACACAAGATCTCACGACTCACTCACTCACTCACTCACTCCCCTCACTCACTCACTCACTCACTCACTCACACTCCCAGAGCCTGTCATCCAGAGACTGCAGAAGGGGCTGCGGCGCGCGTTGTCGCCGCTGGGCCCCCCTCTCTCTCCGCAGGCGCAGTACCCAGAGCCTCCAGAAGGGGCTGCGGCCTCGCTCTCTGCAGTGGCAGGCGCAGTACCCAGAGCCTCCAGAAGGGGCTGCGGCGCGCGTTGTCGCCGCTGGGCCCCCTGCGGTTCTGTGCGTTACTGCCATTGTGATTTGCAACGCAATGGTTGTGACAGGCTGCGAATCGCATTGTAATGGCTGCGGCCAGGATGTGCGCACACTGTGTCTGTGCACTACTGCCATTGTGATTTCCATAGTATTGGTTCTTGCCGGTTCGGAGTCGCATTGTAAATGCTGCGAGAAGGATGTTTGCGAAGTGTGTCTGTGCACTGGTGCCATTGTGATTTGCAGGACCAGTGTTTGCGCGGCACGCAAATCGCCTTGTAAATGCTGCATAGAAGTTGTTTGTGAAGTTTGTCTCTGCGCTGCTGCCATTGTGATTTGCAAAGAAAGGGGTCTCACTGCATGCGAATCGCATTGTAATGGCTGTGGCAAAGATGCTTGCAAACTGTCTCTGCGCGGTACTGCCATTGTGTATGAGAACGGAGAGAAGGCATTCGCAGCCGATTGTATATTTGCCTTTTCTAGTCGGATATTCTCACTCACTCACTCACTCACTCCTCACTCACTCACTCACTCACTCACCTCACCTCACCTCACCTCACCTCACCTCACCTCACCCCACCCCACCCCACTCCACTCCACTCCACTCCACTCCACTCCACTCCACTCCACTCCACTCCACTCCACTCCACTCCACTCCACTCCACTCACTCACTCACTCACTCCACTTACTCACTCCACTCACTCACTCCACTCACTCCACTCACTCACTCACTCATACACACCTCCTCCCTCCCCTCCTTCTCATCCTCGTCCATCACATCATCACTTATACTACACGTCTTAGCACAACCGCCTCATATACCTTCTCTCCTCACACTTCGTTCTTGACTTTTCATCTCACTACTCCGTCTCCCATGTGATGTTCATATACAATTGAAATTTGTAAAACTTATCATGTGGGGTTATCCGGTCCTTTTATTCGCTGGACATTTCGTGGATCTCAGCGACAAGGGCTCCAAAGTTACGGTCACAAAGTTCCCGGAGGTACATCCGAAGTACCAAGCTCTGAAAGCCTCGTTACCAGTGCCGCGCCTTGATCTCAGCCTTGTCGAGTCCACCTGCCAAGGCCGACAGCGCCACGACTTGATGGGACTGGTGACAGACATCGAAGCAGCTCCAACAAAGTCCAAGCCGAAGACAAACGTCTGGCTGAAGGACTTTTCCGACACGGAGATTTTGATCAATGTTTGGGGTCCGAAGCTACAGATGACTTTGCGAGACGTTCAACCAGGTGATGTCTTGATGGTGGACAACTGCAACCTACACAAGAAGGACGATAGCTCGGTGGAGGGGTCCGTTGAACATTTCGAGGACAGTGAGAAACATAGCTTTGGTTTTGTGCGCGTGAACCCGAACTGCGAGCAGGCCAAAAAGTTGCAGGAGCTGGGAACCAGCCGGGGGAAAGCTATCTCGCTGCCTTGGGCTCCGTCCCTTGTCGGCGGCGGCCGCCTGAAGTCAGATCTGGGAGCCTGCTACGTCGCCTGCGCGGCCACTGTCGCTGCGTATGGCATGGCGGTTGAGGACGGCACTCCCGAGGACCGCTGTTATTTTGTTTCCCGCAGTGTGTTGGCATTTACTCGCAGGTATGGTTCGCTGGTTTGCCGAATTTCCGGCGCAATGTAGTTTCATGATTTTTGGACTTTTGCTCTGTTTGTTTCCCTCATGATCTTTGTTCACACAGGAACAAGTGGAAGTGGTCCTACACAATGCATGGATCACTGAGATCCGCGGCGATCCTGTCTACACAGCTTGCAAACTGTGTTACACAAAGATCGACGCGGAGACCGGCCTTTGTAAGAGGAGTGCAACGCGTGGCTGTAAGACTGAGAGAGGCCACGAGGCCGTCTTGGCACACGCACAAATTGCTGATTGCACTGGCGTCGTGGAAGATGTACTTGTCAACGCTGGGCGACTGACTGCGTTGGGCGGTTTGACGTCCGAGACCGAGGTCATTGCCAAGGTGAAAGCTCATGGCCCTCAGTCTCTTTGCTTTCGTGGCCCCTATGACATCCGCTTGGGCACAGCCAAATTCATGAAGCAGTGGAGGCGTCCAGGTCTCAATCAGACAGAAAACTTGCTCAGTCAATTTGAGGTCTTAGGCTGCCGTGCTTCCTTTGGTTGGGCCTACTCCGAAGACAAGAGGCCCATGGTGAAGCAAATCACGCGCTTTCAGAATGCATCCACGGCTGGGGCTGTGCTGCCCGTGACGGACCTCTACAAAGATCTCAGTTTTTCGGACATGGGCATCTACTTTCCGCGGGGGCAACTTTTCGTCAGCTACGTGTGCATCGTGGTGGAGGCACGCGACGAGCCCGACGTGGAGGAAGTGGAGGTGGACGGAGAGAAGCACTTGATCACCTTCCACAAGCAAGTTTTCCCCTTCGACGGCGCAAGCAGTAGACCATTCAAGACGGAAGCCATCTGCCACTTCAAGAATTGCCACCTCTTCAACATGGGGGGCAACCAGCCTCGCTTTTTAGTGGGCCGCCCCCACGCAGATCCCGAAACCGGGGAGATCACCTTCAACATTGAGTGGTTGCGCGGTAAGGTGGGGGAGGTAGTCTCCAAACTGCAAGCTGAGCAAGCTGGCATATGGCAGTTGCTGGCTACGAGCCCTCAGACCACTCGCAATAAGCGACCGGCGTCGGGTCTGGTGAGTGAAACTCCCTCCAAGGTGAAATGCGCGGCTTGGGGCGCAGACTAGCGTAATATTTTCCGGGACACGCTGCGAGAGGACGTCCTTCTGCGAAGTCTTGCGCTGCCCCGCTAGCTTGAGCCGTTTGTGGACTACATCCTGCGCAAGGTGTAACAGAAAAGATCAGTAGACATATCGTTGGAACAGAAAACAAAGCAAACGTTATCACACAGCACGACTAAGACTTCGGTGGCCTTTTCTTTTAGGTCATAGTGATGGAGAGAACTCTGGTTCTCTCTTACACTTTGCTTCACAATTTCGACCAGCTAGGAGCAAATAATCTGTGAGGGACACAAGAGCTATGGGTCTTGGATATCACGACAGTTTCTTTTCACAAGAGTGAGGAGGAGTACTCTGCTTCTGCGTTCTAATTGGCTTTGCGCGTTGGTCCAGGTCCGACGCATCTGCGGAAGTTCTTACGGAGGTGGACACAGGGCGACACCGAGGTGCGGGATCCCAGAGAGAAAAGCTTGGCTTTAGATCGACGATAGCATGAAAGTTTGACCAGAAGGCTGCATCACGCGCTCCTTTCTTTGTTTTTCTTCTCTGTTTTGTTCTCTCAAGGTGCACGAAGAAGTGCTTGACAATGCTGCAAACACACGAGAGGAAAAGCTAAGTAGCCATATCATTGGGACAGAAAAGAAAGTCAACGTTGCAAGACAGCATGGAGTAACACTTCTGCGGCCTTGCTTTTTCCGGTTGACCTGTTTTGAATCGCGACCGCTGCCGGAAGTGCTTTCATCGGTTCCATGCCTGGTGGACCCTGGTGGACTCGTTGCTTGGCAACGGCAGCTGCTAGCTTTCCGAGGTAGTCTACAAACGATGCTGACTCAAGTAAATGCGCTGCTAGACATTCTGCCAGACACGCACTGGGACGCGCGCGTGGACGCGCCTGCTCCGAGCGCGACATCAAGATCTCGATCTCCAAGTCAGAGCCATGACACTTCGGCGCCGAGTATTTTCTGGGCTGGAGAGGCCAGACGGTGAGCTGGTCCGGCTGGGATGCAACTATCCGGAAATGTATCTTCTGATCTATTTCCACGTGGATGAGAGATGTAACACATACCTGCAAGATGGCTTCTATACTGTTGCAGATCTTCTCGCCTACGTTGTCCGAGGAACTTCCATTGCATGACTGCCAGTGATGTGTCCTTGGTCAATGTAGATCACCACGGCTGTCTGGAAGTCCAACCGAGTGAGTTTTATCTGAATTCATCCCGGCTTGGCGGAAAGACATGGAGCGAGGCGACCTCCATGTCGAGTACATTGGAAATTTGCCTGTCTTCCACTTCACACCGCGACGACGGGCACCTAGACAGGGAAGCTGAAGGGACGTCGACACAGACGGACGTCGTTCTACGAAAGTTTGTGTCAGCGACCCACACTCTGCGTGTCCGTGACTTTGCGACCGGCAGAAAACGACGAGTCTCCGTGCGCCTGACGACACAACCGGTACTTTTGGAGAGACTGTGTTTGAAGGCGGATACACACTTGTTGCCTTTAGCTCCTCATGTTTTTCTCTGCATGTCGTTTTATATGTTTAGATAGCTGCTTCTACTCAAGTTTCTTTTTTA